TTTTTTTTCTGAGACAAAGTCTTGCCCTGTCACCCAGGCTGGCGTGCAATGGTGTGATCTTGCCTCACTGCAACCTCCGCCTCTCAGGTTCAAGTGATTCTCCTGCCTCAGCCACCTGAGTAGCTGGGATTACAGGTGCGTGCCACCACACCCGGCTAACTTTTAGTATCTTTAGTAGAGATGGGGTTTCACCATGTTGCCTAGGCTGGTCTCAAGCTCCAAACCTCATGATCCGTCCGCCTCTGCCTCCCAAAGTGCTGAGATTACAGATGTGAGCCACCCCGCGTGGCCCAAGCCCTTTTAATAAATACTTAGTGGATGGATGCTGGGGCGGACTCTCTCAGAAGAGCTACTCCCTAGCCCCGGTCAGCTGGAATTGTCTGAGTATTTCATTATTGGCATTCACTGCAAGCTATAAGCTCTGTAGCAAGCCCCGTATGTTCCTGGAGTTGGGAGCTTGGGAGGTCAGGGGTTTGCAGGCATCACGGCCATGCAGCGTCCCCACCCTCAACTCTATTGCAGCAGCGGATGTAATGGGGGTCCCTCTAGGTAGCAGATTTGAGGCTATGGAGAGAGAAAGTGATGGTGTAAGGGCACCACTCCCTCAGCTTGCTTGAGAGGAATCACCAAAGAAGTTTATCAAAAATACAGATTCTACCCAGCACTTTGGGAGGCCAAGGCGGAGGATCACTTGAGCCCAGGAGTTTGAGGCCAGCCTGGGCGACGTGGTGAAACCCCGTCTCTACAAACGATACAAAAGTTTGCCAGGCATGGTGGTGCATGCTTGTAGTCCCAGCTACTTGGGGGTGCTGAGGTGGGAGGATCACCTGAGCCAGGGGAAGTGGAGGCTTCAGTGAGCTGTGATCATGCCACTGCAATCCAGCCCGGGTAACAGAGGGAGACTCTGCCTCAAAAACAAACAAAAAACCAGATTCCTAGAAACTATGAGTTTAGCAGGTCTGGGGTGGAGTTGGGGAAGCTGTATTTTTAGAAAGCTTCCCAGGGGATTTTCATGAACTAGGGCAAGTAATCTCTCTGAGCCACATTTTCCTCCTTTGCGAAATGTCAGTAATACAACCTATCATGGAGAGAAGGTTACCAGCAGGACGAGTGATTAATACATAAACTGCCAAGCAACACGGTTGACTTCTTCCTTCTCTTTCTTATGACTTTTGACTACTACTACTATTATATTACTAGTCACTTATTCCTGGGTTTGACTCTGCCATCCCTTGTAGGCAAGTGACAGCTTGGAGAATCACCTCTCTCACTGGGCAGGGCAGGGCTGTGGAAATTCTTGGAAATGGGATCAAGGACTCTCTGGAATGGCGAGGACCCCAGCCAGCACTGGGGTACGTGGACACTCTGCCCTCTGGCTGATTTCAGCTCTATCTGCAGGCCTGGGCTGCCTGGGAGGCAGGGGACCTCTGGGGTCAATGCAGCCCAGTCCCTGCCCCCACTGAGGAGGGGTGAGTCACAGACTCGGAGCCATCCACCCCTCTCTTCAGACACTCAGACTCCACCCTCCCTGTATCATTTTTGAAATGCCACTTGGAGGAGGGCAGAGAGCTTCGTGGTCCTGTGAGTGGAAGAGATATTTATGGCTCTTAATAAAAAG